TTGGGGCAGCACAGTGGACAGCAGGAGGCTAGCAGGGCTGTACCAGATTTAAAACAAACCAAAGGAAGTTTTTCTTCATGTGGCGCACAGTCAACTTGTGGAACTCCTCGCCAGAGGATGTTGTGAAGATCAGGACTTTAACAGGGTTCAAAAAAGAATTAGATCAATTCATGGAGGAGAGATCCATTCATGGCTATTAGCCAGGATGGGCAGGGATGGTGTCCCTAGCCTCTGTTTGTCAGAGGCTGGAAATGGATGACAGGAGAGGGCTCACTTGATGGTTATCTGTTCTGTCACTCCCTCTGGGGCATCTAGCATTGGCCCCTGTCAAAAGACAGGACACTGGGCCAGATGGATCTTTGGTCTTATGTCCCCTCACTGGACACAGCAGCCACCTTGGAGTCAGCCCTGCCATTTCCCACCACTCAGCGACACAAGCAAAACCCATATGGTACCGGCCAAGGCCCCTCTACTACACACACCCAACTGCAGCCTAGCACACAAACCCATACGCCCTGATTCCAGAGCCCCCTTTGTGTCCCATCTGCCCCACAACCACGAAGAGCTCAACGCAGTGCCCCGCTCTCCTCACTAGGATCACGCTCCCCCCAGAGCCAGGAGCTCCGACTCTTCAGTCCTCTACTCGAATCTCTAAATCGCACTCCTGCCTCAAGCCAGGAATAGAACCCAGGCATCCTGACTTCTTCCCTCCCTTCCTCCCTATCAGTTCTGGTGTCTGGATTTTGTTTGAGACAGTGGCTGCGTACAGCATTGAGCGCGCACGCAGCACGTAAATACCACCCTCCTCCCCCATAAAACAACCTTCACTTTTATTCCCTCGCTTTCCTTTTCCCTTGCTTTGCTGATCTCAGCTCCGCCGGTCTCCAAAACAGCTTTCAAAGTTACTGGAGGGTGGAGACCTCTGGAAGCTGCCCCCAGCTGTGTCAGCTTTCGGTTTCCCTCCCTCCGATGCTAACAACACGACAGCGAGGGCCACGTTTCCAAAGCCTCACACAAAGGAAGAGCAGTGCCAAACGCAGCTTCGCAGCAACTGCACCCCCCACCCCCACCTTGGCGCACACGCTCACTTGCTCTTGCAAACCAGATGCCCAGTGTGCACAGGCAGGCACATGGTGCGGGCGTGTTTTGCACAGCGCTCCTGCTAGGCAGGGCTTGGTGCATTCGGCCCTGGTTAGTTCAAAAGGTGCCAGGCTTAAAGGAAGGGGCTTAAACGGCTCCAGGGAACAGGAACAGGCTATTGAGGTGGCTGGTTTAATAACAAGCAAAAGCAGCTGTGCGTGAAAGTCACTGTCCTCTTTGGTGGCACATGAAGTGACCTTGCCGAGCCTTTGTCCAGTGTCTGCCAGGGAACATGTACCTCCTAACGCTGGGAGGCCTGGCTGAAAGCTCTTGGTCTCAGGACTGGAGGCTAACGGAGTCCTAGAAAAGGGTTCTCCCTCCTGGGTGTGACATTCCTGGCTGTGTGGGGGGGAGTGTGTGCTGCTGGGGATGGGTGACCCCCTGGGAAGAGCAGAGGAGGTTGGACATGGCACCTGCAGGGAGAATTCCCACCCTGGCAACGGGAAGAGCCCAAGGTTTGGAAGAACCTGAGGCTGTTCCCATTTCATTTACACAGGCACAGGCACCCCCCCTCCCCCCACATGGGCAAGGCCCCGGCTTGTTTTTAGCCCTCCTAGCCTATCACTCAGGAAGCCAAGGAGAGGTCATGGCATTGCACCACCTCTCCGGAACGCTGTCCCCTCCCCCGCAGATACCAGGGCACTTCCTCCTCTCTGAAAATCGCCCTCAAAAGCGACTCTGGGATTTAAAAACAAAGGGAAATGCTTCCGCTAGCAGCACATACGCGGGCCACAGGAAGCCCTGCCACAGGGGGGTGGCTGAGGTGAAGACTTGGGCGGGGCGCACAAGGGGAAGGACAGCTTTACAGCTCGTCACAGGGCCCGGATGGCGTGAGAGGGCTGGGCATCAGCAGACTCAGTCTATGCACCGCTATGCAACTGGCATGCTGGGCAAGGCAGTGCCGCTCCTCTGTGCCTCGGTTTCCCCATCCATAAACCTGGAATAGGAATTCTCTAGGCCATGGAGCATTCTCACCTGGAATTCTCTGTAGAATGGGCAGCTCCTGAAGTCTACAGCTAACTTTCTACTCAGATAACGCTCCCTGTGACATCAGTGGGAAGTTGCATGCACAAGGCAAAACTTGAAACCTTTCAGGCTCCACCCGCTGATGAACCACGGTGCCAGATTTGGTGGATCACAGCTCTGATCTGGCACCACGCCTTCCTTTTCTCTTCAGCCTGTGATTCACATGCAAAGTGTCTGGTGGTACCAAGTATACAGGATGCAAGGTAGGAGTAATGGCTGTGTTTTCCAAAGCCATTCATTTGAACGAGAATCGGGCGGCCAAATCTCTGTGGCAGCTTTGAAACTTTCGGCCGGCATCTATTGGGATTACACGCGAGGTTGCATGTAGCATTATGAACTGGCTACAGTGTTTGGACACCCTCTACTGGCTGAAATCAGAAACACTAAACGGTGTCATAGTCTCTATACTGATAACAATTAATGAAGATCCTCCAATCCCAATCGGCGTTAGACGCAGAAGGGGTTGAATTCTATCTTCAATGCTCCTGCAAAGTGCTGAGTTGCCCAGGTGTGGCTCAGAGACAGCTGCAAAGTCCTACGTGACTGTGGTTTTGTGTGTATATCACTCCCTCCCTCGTGCCCAGGGTGTGCAAAATCTCAGAACAGCATGTGTTCATACATGTTGGAACACCCAGGCACAACAGGGTGTCTCAGGACACAGCAGCCTCCACTCTGAATTCCTTCACTGAGGCGGAAGTTAGACCTTGGACATAGCTTGAATGCTGTTTTATGTTTAATTCCCCTCGTCTTGTTTAACAGTAATCTTCAATAAAAGCCTTCAACTGGCATCACATCCAGTGCAGGGGCTGTGGGGTGAGGCAGTCGCTTTAGCAGCGGAAACCTATCCATCCCCTCTCTGCTGCTGTTGATACAGTACCAGTCTGAACCCGCGGATAGTTAGCCTGAAGCTCTCAGCCGGCACTGGTACAGACACGGCTGGTGGTTTTAGATGTCTGGATGACGCAGACAAGAACAGTCAGATGGAGAGGCTGCAAAACCCACACAAAAAGCCTCCCCCAGCCTTCCAGTCACAGCAACAACCCAGTTCATCCCTCTACTCCCACTGGGTCCCCTGCCACCGGTGGCCAAGTATGTGTGACTAGCCCTTGTAACAGAGGACCCTGTGTGTAACAAGGTGTGTGGGGATGTGTGTGTTGGACTCTATGTATAACAAGGTGTGTGTGTGGGGGGGGGACCCTGTGTGTAACAAGGGGTGTGTGTATGTGTGTGTGTGTTGGATCCTGTGTGTAACAAGGGGTGTGGGGATGTGTGTTGGACCCTACGTTTAACAAGGTGTGTGTGTGTGGGACCCTGTGTGTAACAAGGGGTGTGTGTGTGTGTGTGTGTGTGTATGTGTGTGTGTGTGTGTGTGTGTTGGACCCTGTGTGTAACAAGGGGTGTGGGGATGTGTGTGTTGGACCCTATGTATAACAAGGTGTGTGTGTGTGTTGAACCCTGTGTGTAACAAGAGGTGTGGGTGTGTGTTACTCTCTTCAACAGAAGACAGTGCTAGCACGTCTCCAGGAGCGGTTGCCTGGTGTGGGTAATATGGGATTGTGAGATTGCGTGTGTGCACATGACTGCAGATTGGTCCGTGGACCGGGAGTGTGTGTGAGTCAGGACTGCTGTGTCGCTTCAACTCTGCCCTCCCTGCAGTCATCCCATGAATTTCCACCCTAATTAACCTGCTGGAACTCTTTCAGAATCCTTTTCCCCTTATGGACAATTTCTGGGTTTCTGTGACTTTTCTCAGCCTTTCACGCTCTGAATGGATCAGGCTGCTCACTCTAGTAGGCCTGGACTGGGGGGGGGAGGGGTAAAGTGCAAAGGCACCCTCCATGGTCCCCCAAGCAAGCATGCTCCCGCAGACCAGAGGAAGGCAGGAACGGTGGGCTGCCTGAGCCTCTCTCCCCCATGCTCTGCTCACCCAGGGGAAAGCTAGGGCTGATCTCCCTGCTTACTTGGAGGACCTCGAGGGTTGATTTCACACCCTTGCGGACCACATTTACCAAAAAAAGCACCCCCCACAGAAATTCCTGCATACGGGCCTCCTAGGGTGGAGGGGATGGGCTTCCTGGAGGAGCAGAGTGTGGGGAGGAGGAGAGGCAAATTCCTTCTTCGTTCCCAAGGGAACAGAAAAGTTTGAATCATGGAAAACTTGCACCCCCCCTCCCCGTTTGGCTCTACGCACCCTCCAGCCAGAAGCTCTGCAGCAAACCTGATAAGCCTCATTATAGAGAAGCTCTGCCCGTTACAAAGGAAGCAAAATTCCTAGTCTCAGCAGAAAGAGGCCTTGCACCAAACCAGGACAGATCACAGACCCCCCTACGGAAGGCAACTAAACCAGCCCCAAACGTGTCTTTCCATCCTGGCGGTTGGTTCCTGCTTGCTGCAATGCCAGCAAGTAAGTCAGCACATGTGCAAGGATCCACCCGGCCCCATCCAGCAAACCTTCCTGAAGGCAGCTGCAATTTCATCCGAGTCTCATGGCCAGCGTGCAAACACATCTCTGCACAGGTCGGGGGGCTGCAGAAGCAGACCTCAGGTTGAGGCCATTCCAAGCCCACCCCCCAAATAGAAGGCCAGGATACAGAGCAGCACAGACTCCCAGCCAACCCCTTCCTCCCCTGCTGCCCATGGAGATGCCAGTAATCACTGAAGTATAAAATCCAGGCTGGGGCTGATTAACCTCAAGGCCACTCATTAACCAGTCCCATTGCAGCTAGCCCTTCGCATAGGAGCTCTGGTCCCTGGAGCGGTGCCAGTCCATCACCCCCTGACTCCTTTTGGCTTGGGCCCTTCCCCGCATTAAATGCAGCCCCTTCCCCAGGTACCTCTGAATCCCGTTCATCAGAAGCAGCAAGCAAAGGGAGAGAAGAGAAGGAGATTTAGTGGGGCCCGTGCAGCTCTCCCCAAAGCAGCCAGCCACCCTCCCTCCCCCTCCCCGGGGGGCCAGTGAACCAGGCAGGGGAAGGGCGCCAGGAAAAGGAAACAGGCTCTTTGCGATCCAGGGGAGGAAGAGAAAAGGGC